AAAGACGGGCGTAAATTATGCAACTGTAACTCCGAATGAAAACAGTTCGAACACTCATTTAAGGGACACTGGGGTAGTTAGAATGTCCTTAAGACAGTGACTCGGAATCATTACCGGATGTGTTAGATCAAGTGGAAGACGATGTTGGTGTCTTTTTCGGATTTCTGATGCGATGACAGCTGCTGAGAAACTTGCCCAGTTCTTCTATGTGGGCTGAATTCATCATGTCTTTGTAGTTCCTGAGAAGTAAAAGCTCTTTGAGGTCATCTGAGAGAGAAGATCGTACTGAGTGGTACATGGGGCACTCAGTAAGGCAGTGTTCCTCGTCTTCAATAATCGTGCCTTCAAAGAAGGGAAGGTATTCGAAGCCGAGAACGTGATCCCTATCGCAGCAGAATCTGCATGCTCTTGGCCAGACTCCGGCCTCCTACGTGTAACGCCCTCGTTCTATCATCAGGTCGTGGCTGCTGGAGCGGATTTTAGCTGTATTCGTTCGGAATTGCCTGCTCTTCAGATTGAGGTACTGCTCTTCTCCAAATTCCTCTTTGATTTGGTTGTAGAACTGCATCTTGGTTTGCGATCCCAGGTCCACCCTCCAGTCACTGATAAAGACATCCCTCATGGTGCCATGAGCTGCTTCTGTTTCATAATGAGCCACAGAGCTAAGTTTCTCGTACCAGGAGAGGTTAAGATTTTTCTGTTCCTGAAACGCTTGAGATACTAAAAAATTGACACTGTTCATCTCAGAAGAAGCTCTGGAAAGTCTTCCAAAGTATCTGAGGCATTGTGGCAGAACTGAGAGGGCCCAGGGCATCCTTCCTGTATCCCCGTAACAGAAGTTGTTGTTAGTTTTCTTGTGCACACCCAGTACCCATTTCAGCATTTTGAGGTGTGTTGTCTCAAGACTGTCTTTTGCTGCAACTTTTGATAGGTTGTGTCTTTGGCTGGGTTCACGCGCCATTTCTTTCATGAGGTGAGTCGAGGGTAGCCATATCTGACAGGCGTAAGTTGCTACCGGTTTCACCAGACAGTCAATTAGCTTTAGCATGGTTTTGGTGGTCAGAGCTCTGGTGTCTACCATGCGTTTTATCGAAAAGAATGCTCGAAGTGTGTGAGCCACTGCCTGACTAACCTGTGATTAGAGTTTGCCCGACTCTATGATTGTGGCAGACAGTATCTTCTGAGTTGTTTAGATTCTGAGTATCCTTTGTCCGTCATGGTGCTGGTTACAAGCTCTTGTTGTAGGTGGTAAAAGGATACGTGGGTAAATCTCGTGGTGTAGTCATGTGTTAAAGATACCACATGTAGCAAAATAATGGATAAAAAAGATGTGGATAAATAATTATCTTTGCACTGTTGTACCGAGTGAACGGACAAAGTACTGCTCAGTACCGTAATTATAAAACTATCAGCTTGAAAACATATCTCAACAATTAGAGGGTCTAAATGTCATGAGGGTCTAGAAGACGGTCTACTACAAATTTGTCTACTACAAATTTGCTCTGATACTAAAGTACTAACTACTACAAATTTGCCACTGATGTCTGATACTAAATGCTTGGTTTGCTTTATTGTGTTCATCAGTCGAACTGAGATGTAGCGTTATTAATGTTATGTTCCTTACATTTTTTATGTTTAAAAAATTGTTTCGCGAAATGTTAAACACAACAAAATTTGAGAGAAACTAGTATTTTATTCCATCTTCAGATTGAGAAATATCAATGTGCTCTGTCATATTGTACAACCAGGGTGGTGTCTGTAGTCTGATTGGGAGGGAACAGATAACAAATTGTACTCGCACCCGGGAGAAGCAGGGGTTCTCGTTAACTTAATAATTGTTGTTGCTTAATAATTTATAATTAATAATTAAGCAACTCGTTCCAACTGTACGACCGTTCGAACAGCTTATTTCATTAATAAAGGGTGTTGGATGTTCTTTAATCACACTTCACTGAAGTATGATTAAAGATTGATTACTTGCACCATGGTGCATTGGATTTGGTGCAAGTAAGATTAAAGATTGAACAGCCAACACCCTTCATTAATATTGGTGCACCAATTTTCAGATCTTACTTAATCAGCATTTAAAGGGCATCCTGACACAGAAAACAAGCGTTTGCTGTGTTGAGGATGCTGCTCCATGTTCCACTAAGAATAAAATCTCCGGGGATGAAATCATAATTCCAATTAGTCCGATGGAATTTATATTTATGCGGTCTGCAAATTTGTAATATCTTAATATCGTTTCCCCAGCCCTGATCAGGACGACAGCTCCAAATTTAATTTCGTCTCTAAGTCTGATTTTGACACGCGTCCTGTCAAATTTGTCCAAGATCGCAAGATATCATGATGACACTGACAGTGATATATGCTCGCGGGTATTTAAACGTTGAAATTTTTATAATAAAGATATTAAACTGGAACTGTTTTGTAAGATTGCGTGTCTGTATGTCAGAGCAGGGGCTTAAATTAAAAAAGTCAGCAGTGCATCGTTATAAATATGCAAGCCAACGCACTTGCCAGTCACCACCCACTCATTTTCTATTTATAAATCAAGAGGCTTGCATATAATGAACATATTGACACGGGTGCAGATTTGAGTGTGTACGGAACCTAGTAGTTTCAGATCCTTGTTTAACTTGCCGTACAGCAAGGTCATCCACTACTTTAGCCCAGCGAGGCACATAACTCCCTCTACAACTCCATATCAAATGTTTCATATATACTAGCCAAGTTCACAAGATATATCCTTGTGTTTGAGAAGAGCTCGTTAGAACTGCTTCCTTTCCCTTCAGTATACCTGCAGTTTTAATAAAGTAACAATTTAATTTAATCTAATCAAGACTAGCTTCCAATATAGCGGGGTTATGACCGATTTGTACTATTACTGTAGTAGTGCAACCTCCTCAGGGTGTTGTTAGTTGTTATCCGGTGTCACTGCTCACTTCACGGACTATAGTCCGCGGACTGGGTCGGGCTTCTTGGATACTGCCCACTTCTCCCTCACCGAGCAGGACACAACCAGCAAATAGAGCTATGTATGGTTAATGGCTATTCGCCTTGAAATGGGGGCCGTCGTGCCCGAATTTTCAGGTGACTAAACGTCATATTCCCAATAAATTTGGGTAAAATAGTGGTACGATACCACCAAAAATAGTGGTTTCAACCATTATGATTGTTTAGTTCAATTGTTTAGTTCTATTGGTTAATACTGATATTCTGTATTATAGCTATTAGAGCTGAGTGGTGTTATCACCCTGCTTCTCTCTTGGCTTTTTTACAAAAGCAGGATGTTCAATTCTGATATTCCTCTGCAACCTCAGAATCCACAATTTGAGCAACTGGATTGGGGATCATTAGAGCAGGTCGCACGGCTGCAATTATCTTACCAGAGCACTTCTCGAAATAGCACTTGACAGTCATATGACCATATCACGAGGAGGTAACGTGTCAAGCAGAACTGTTGATGTGGGCATTATCATGTACTGATAACTTCTTAACAAGTTAACGTCTCATGTCTTGAGATATAAAGTCCCTGGATTGTGGGACATCTGTACGTGTAACAACTTAACAAGTATCAGTGATCATGCATACTCGTATTAACCAATGATGTGTCTAGCCTGCCAATAGCAATCACATACTAGTAAAATCCCTCTGTTCAGTACCACTACTATTACTACTATCATAGGCCTGGAGTGCCACGTACACGTCAATTCTCATCATGTATCTTCTTCTTCGTAGGGGGCAGTGGTCTTTACTACTAAGGAATAGATCAAAACCACTATGAGATAGAGCATTGAAGCCCTGTGCTTACCCCGGTAAAGTTAATCTGTGAAGAAAGCAAGGTTAAGCCTTGTCCTCTCCACATTTGGTAAATCGTTTTGTCGCTTGTATGAAGCCGATGATCCTAGGTAATGAGAACTTGTCCACTATATCTGTCACACTGAGGTAAAAGGAGTCAAAGTATCCTCTTCGCTGGTAAGACCATTTCGGGCACTGACCAATAAAGTGGTTCATTGTCTCCTCTTCCATGAGACAGTGTGGACAAGTTTTAGGGACCGTTGTCGGCTTGTACTTATTGATGTGGTAGTTTAGTTCACAATGTCCCGTGAGGAATTGTGTTGCTGTTCTTGTGCTCTCTTTGCCAAGTTTCGGGATTGATCTGGCGAACTTTTGTCTCCATACTCGTTTAAAGTGAGTGTTGGGTAATGTTCTCCATCTTTCCATCATCTTCCGATGACTTATACTCCGCAGTGCTCCCTTCCATAATACTTTTGGTATTGGTAGTTGCACTTGAGCGGAGTCCAGATTATCGGAGCCTTTTTTGGCAAGAGAGTCTGCCTTTTCGTTGCCATCGTAGCCTTTGTGAGCTGGTAATATCCATCGTAGTAGGACTTGATTGTCCATTGCTAGTTGGTTAAGCTCACTTATAGCCGTGCTGGTGCTTTTAGATTTGACTTTGATGTCGCTCATTGTTGCTCATTGTTGCATCATGTATCAGAGCCATCAGGCTATTGCTGAAGTGCCACGTAGGTGATTGCCGGGAAGGTTTGGAGAATGGAGCTATGATCTGATCATCAGTCTGTCCTTTGTTTGCTTGTTGGTTGCTTGTTGTTTGCTTGTTGTTTGCTTGTTGTTTGCTTGCTGTTTGCTTGTTGTTTGCTTGTTGTTTGCTTGTTGTTTGCTTGTTGTTTGCTTGTTGTTTGTTGTTTGCTTATTGTTTTCTTTTTGTTTGCTTGTTGTTTGCTTGTCGTTTGTTTGTTGTTTGCTTGTTGTTTGCTTGTTGTTTGCTTGTCGTTTGTTTTTTGTTTGCTTGTTGTATAGCATTATTATTAGAAATGCTATACTCGGTGGGACTGCGACAAACAGATGTGTTCTTTATACTTTACTTTAGAGCAGACCATTTTTGTATCTACTGTTAATAAAAATAATCAACTAGCGGATTGATTGCTGTATCTGTGATAACATTATGTTTAATTTTAACAAATAAGACAGATACGTAAATGCAAATGCTAAAAGCATCAAATACAGGAAAATTGTTACAGTTTAGAAGAATAGTATAGTGTAATAATACGGAATCGTTTTAAACACATTTTAAGATTGTAAGCTATGATTACAGAAATCAACTTATTGTGCCCATTGATTAAGATAACAATGAATAATTGTTTCTATCTAATAATTGTCTCTATAATTATTGTCTCTATATCACGTGATCCTTGTACCCTCCACCATCAGGTATCACGAGATCACATAGCCATGTGTCTACGCGTACTGCAGTCGCGCGCTACTGCAAGTTAGAGCAAGTATCACGTGATCACGGCATCATTAGACTGAGCACCCTTAGCTATTACTCTATATCGCAGAGACGGCAACTTTTACGGCAATTCTTTACCATATCTTCTTCGTATGTTCCTAGGCAGTCTCCATTATAAATGTCCACCATAACTTTACACACTCCTGGAATGCCGGCATCAACACATGGTGGTAGTGCCAGTGGTGATTGAGCTGAAAAGTTGTAATATTAAATACGCGTTAATGAAAGATTAATTAATGATTAAATAAGTGCATCTCCCACTTGTTATAGTGGGGCTCAATGGGTTATCTGAATATCTTATAAACTCCAGTTTCACATTAAATACATCCATAACACTCCTATTCCCTATCAAAACGATACACTAAATTGGGTTACATTTTAATTGGGTATTTTTTTAAATGTTTGGTGTAAACATACCAATGTAATGTCGATATTATGTATTAGTTATTTTACCAAAACCCATAATCATGGGTAGAGTGGACCGCTGCCAGTGTCTCTCTTTCCCAAACAAAAGGAAATGATATTAATTTGATTGACCGTTCTCAAATGCAAACTGATACCGAGAATGAAATCGGTCGCTCGCTTTTCCCATTCATTCACGGCTTACGAATTGTATAAATAAGTTTCGATTGATTACATCAATCAGATGCTGTAAAAATCTCTTTGGGTTGCGTTGGGGTCGATACCTAGTATTTCGGAGTAAGGGACAAGGGTGGTAGTTATTACTTATTGAACAAGCTGAAGTTTATTGAATCTTCATTGCCGAGTACAGCTGCCTTTGGGTAGTTCTTCTTAATCTATTACAATTGTAAATGAATGGGAAAAGCGAGCGACCGATTTCATTCTCGGTATCAGTTTGCATTTGAGAACGGTCAATCAAATTAATATCATTTCCTTTTGTTTGGGAAAGAGAGACACTGGCAGCGGTCCACTCTACCCATGATTATGGGTTTTGGTAAAATATCATCTCTTTTTGATTATAATGTCAGGGTACTTTATAAAGTCGAAATATAAACTGATATCTTCATTAATAAGGAGGAAGTTTCAACGATTTCGAAATTTTTCCTTTAAAAACATTTCCTTGTGTTTAGGGAAGCATATCGGTCGATCACTGACTGAATATGCCACTTAATACTCATTCAAGTTGGCATTAAATTCATATATAATGACATTAAACTGTCGTGGCAAAGCAGAATTTGTTGGAAATCACGAATGAGCAAAATTCTCACCTTTCGCACGTGCAAAATTTGAGCGGACGTTGCGTGCGCATCCAATATTAAATCGCCGTAAATTTTTGCATGTAATTGTTTTATATATAGCCTAATAAGCATGCAAAGTTTCAAAGTATTTCAAGAAGAACTGTAATCACAACGGCACTCTAAAGTTGACAGAAAATGACGAAAACAGCAATTTTCAGTGATTTTAGCAATTTTCTATCAATTTGGGCGTGTCCCCACGTGTGCAACTTTTCGATTTTCAACTTTAAAACTAGTCTAATGCACAATTTATACCTATAGGAAGCAGAACTGAGCTCCACAACCCAAGGCATGGCCCAACACCAGAGAATACTAAATCGCAAAATTGACGTTTTTATAAAATAATTCTTCAAAAAAGCACAAACTTCAATGACGAATATCTTTATGAAGGAGCAAGCTAGAAAAACTTTCCGGTAGATTTTCAGAATGCTTGAACAATTATCTAAGATAAAAATTTCCTCAGATTTTGAATAAAATTACTCCTTAATGGTTTAAAATTAATTTTAAAAGTTGTTACTTTGTCAAAAATCAAGTTTTAAAAACGGTTAACTTGATGACGTCATCAAGGGGTGTTTATGACGTCAAATATTTTTTTAAAACAATGTAAACTAAAGTGTAAACAATTATTCGCAAGATCTGTGGTCGGAAATGGCTGTATCTTTTATACTTTTGAATCTATGGACACTTAAATACAGGCTACAATTGACTGGCAAAGCGTCTATCCCTGAATATATGTATATATGTATGTATGTATCACGACAATCTATCGTAAAACAGGGGTTCTAGAAAACCCATTTCTCGATGCTCCTGAAACCTGAAACTTTTTTTGCAGTCGATTTGGTCAACGTCTAGACGCCCTGAAAAATTTCAGATCTCTAACTCAATTTTAACATGGTTTTTAAGGCACCTGAATATGGCGATTTTGGGTTTTTTACCGAATTTCGTATAACAGTGCTGGCGAGTATTTTATGCAAATTTCTTAAAAATCTCAACATAACTATTTTTTATTCCTGTCATCTTTGACATCAAATTAGAATGTTTTGAACTAAAAATAAATCTGCTGAACGACTTCCGATGAGTCTTAATGCCTGAAAAACTCCTGCCGGAGGCGGCGGCCTTCGGCCGCCGGCCGGAGTGCACGCTTCGCGTGCACGAAAGAGGCTTCCAACGTGTACCAAAGGGGGTATAATAGTAGAGGGGGTATAATAGTTAAGGGGGTATAATAGTAAAGGGGGTACAATAGTAAAGGGGGTACATAGTATACCCCAAATAAAGACACCGCTCGTGCTTGCCAGCACTGTGATAAGTCGATGAAAATTTGGTATTCACAAATTAAATCAGATTAAAATAAACCACCATTTTGCTTACCATGAAATCCAGCCACGAGTAGAAATACTACCACAATCTTCATCATCATCATCATAGCGCCTTGATATCTGTATTGCGATCGTTATATTGATTTCATGAGCATGAAAGAAAGGTGGTATCGATATGATGATACAGATTATGGATACACCGGTTAAGAAATTGTTAACATAATCTAAAACATGAACAGTATTGCTCTATGAACTGTGGCCAGAAATGTTTGTTGATAAAACAATTAAACTATGGAGAACGACCTCAGTATCAATACAAATTATAAAAAATAACGAAAATTAAATAAAATTTAAGAAGGAGCGTACTCACTTGAGCTGAGAACACAAACATACCTTCTTACCTTTCGGCCCTCAAGGCCTGGCTATGCACGAACACCATTTTGCCTCATGATTGACCTCGCCCAACCCTTCAACACTGACGTGTAATTTTTGAGTTGGATATTGTGTATTGCTGGTGTAGAAAGTATAATGTTCATTGTTCACTGTAGGGCCTGTCGTGATATCATGGATCGCTTAGGTTCCACCATGAGGATCTGGTAGTCCTCATAATTCTGCGGCCTCTATGTATCGTCATCTCGCACAACTCCTTAAGAATCTTACGTTTTTGGCATGTGAAAATTTGCAGCCTCCCAGACATTGATTGCGGTTAACGAGGTGTCGTACGTCACCTCAAGATCATGTAATTACAGGGAGCTGACAGGCCAGAAGTCAGTTGATTGGGTCTGAGGTCACGTGATTGTGAGCCTGAGGTCACGTGACTATGACGTATCCAGAGCTTGTTCTCCGTTTCCCGCTCATTGGACCAGGTGAGCTGATCCCGTAGTTGTGAAATGTGAATGTGAATGTAAGTACTGTACTGTAGTATATCTCTATTACCCCCAATAGAAACCCAAATTTAATTTCTGACAGAAAAAAAAATTTACCAAAATATCGACCTTGTTATAAACTCATTTTGATGACCGAATACTTACAACGTTTTCGTCATTGTCAAATAAAATCCATACTTTCTACAGTAAAGAGCTTAGAGCTAAATGGTGATGTGAAGAGATTAGAGAAATTTAAACATAAATAATTTTTTTAATTTCCTCGAACAAAGCTTCCGACAAGCAAGTTTCTAGTCAGTTATAAATGGAGGCAGGTTTTTATTGGTGTTCTTTTTTTCAGTCATTTGACACGTGATAACCTGGGCCACATTGGTAAAACCTGGATTTTAAGGCATAAGGAACTCTGAATCCGAGTTTAATAAATTTCTCGTGCAATTTAAGGTCATGAACTGTCATTAAAATGAGTGTATAACAATTTTGATATTTTGGATTATTTCTAGCTTTCTGTCAGAAAATAAATCTGAGCTTTTATAAGGGTATCATTTTACTAACACCACGGCATCAACTTTAACACGACTTCCCACAAAAACCGTAAAAGATATACAACTTAAACTTTTTAGACTGGTTCAAATGCTTTAATGGCCTTCAAATCAGCATGAAAAAATTAAAAATTGGCCAAGGAATATGAATTTGAGTGCCCCAAATATGGACCACCAAGTGTTGTCAAATGGACCGGAGAACCAAAAGAGTAAGTAATAAATAGCCTTGGGAGGCTCCCAAAGAGAAATGGGAGCTTGGTATTCATAATCACTACTGCACTCTCATGCGGCTTCTATATTAATATAGAAAGTGATACATGTGTCACATGCAACTATAAGTATAATACTTGGATCGGTTTCTCCTAAAAGTTTCTCTTTGCAAGGAAAAGTGAGAGATGAGACAACTAGCTTAACAGACGAGCACTTTAATAAGTAAGAGACCAATGCTTATATCTTTTCTCTTACACTCACATCACACGCAAATTCACATTCACAAGCATGGGAGCTCACCTGGTCCAACGAGCTTGGTATGTATGATCACTACTGCACTCTCATGCGGCTTCTATATTTATATAGAAAGTGATACATGTGTCACATGCAACTATAAGTATAATACTTGGATCGGTTTCTCCTGAAAGTTTCTCTTTGCAAGGAAAAGTGAGAGATGAGACAACTAGCTTAAGAGACGAGCACTTTAATAAGTAAGAGACCAATGCTTAAATCATCGTATCTCTTATATGTTTTTAACCCAACTCCACTCAATGCTTATATCTTTTCTCTTACACTCACATCACACGCAAATTCACATTCACAAGCATGGGAGCTCACCTGGTCCAACGAGCTTGGTATTTATAATCACTACTGCACTCTCATGCGGCTTCTATATTAATATAGAAAGTGATACATGTGTCACATGCAACTATAAGTATAATGCTTGGATCAGTTTCTCCTAAAAGTTTCTCTTTGCAAGGAAAAGTGAGAGATGAGACAACTAGCTTAACAGACGAGCACTTTAATAAATAATAAACCAATGCTTATATCTTTTATACACGAAATCCTCTCCGAACCTCCACGTGGTGTGGCCTGGTTGGCACTAACGGGTGGTGTGCTCTCTTGTTGAGTACAAAGGTTGGGACTTGCCAACTCAAAGTTCCCATAGGAACCAGGAAGTCAACACTAACAGCTACCAAGCACCAGGAAATTTCTCTTTCAGATATCAGGTTACAAGATAGTACACACACAAACGACGATACGTTAGACACAGATACATAGCTCTAAGAGCTATTAAATCACCAGGAAATTCTCTTTCAGCTTTCAGGTCCCATCGAAGTCACCCACCACAGAGCTAGGGATCCCAATTCGCTCATCCTGACTACAAGGACACACTGATAATGAGTAGTCTTGGCACTTCTCCCTCCAGTAACCACTTTTCAGGTCTTTTCAGTTAAGACAGCTAATGCGTTAGGGCTGACACACGCTAGACACAGGCTCGTGATAAGACAGTGTTAGGGATGTCAACTCTGACTACAAGGACACACTGATAGCGAGAATTCCTGGCACTTCTTCCTCCAGTAACCACTTTTCAGGGGACCGGGTTAGCTTTGCCACACTCTTTATTGAAGTGTGACTGGACGCTCTACAATCATCTAGTAGGCAGCAGTGTTTGACTGACACCCCTACTGCAACTGGTTCTATTCAGTTCTACAGCGGAAGTTCTCAAACACTCGAAAACAGTTCATCTCGGACATCCTGCAGAGATGCTTTTTCACAGCCTGCCCCATTACACGGGGAACCCTTAGATCTACAGTACCCTGGTGGACAGCATAGCTCACTAAAGCATAGTGGACTTCTTTAGTACTGTGACGCAAAGCTAACCGGACCAGGAATAAACATCATTGCAATGCTTAGGGGATGCAAATAGGACATACAACGTTTAACGATTTACTCAAAACTTTTGATTTATTTTTTAGCTCGACGATACATGGTATCATTTCAGGACAGATATTCCTTCTTCAGGTTCATTGAGGAAATTGTACCCGCTATTTGCGTTATACATGGCAAGTATCTGGACTAATGATAACTTAGGATCTCAGATTCCCAGGCTGCATTTAAAGCGCTTAACAGCACCAGTTTTAACTCCAGGTTTGTTCTGAACATCTCAGACCAACTCAACTCACTAGGTATTCTCATCGAGTAGAACTCCAGGACATGAAGGAGTATACGGTAAAGAACTAGCGGACGAATTCGCAAGGGACGATCAATCCAACAACATCCCCATAGGACCAGAACCCTTCCTCCCAATTAGGCCACACTCAGTGACAAAGGAACATTCCACTTGAGATGTTCCTCCACAAATATAAATACAGGAACTTTAATTTTTCTGGAACTCACATCAGATGGCTTACATGGTCGCTTTCAGGATAGGTCACAGCCCACTAGTTTATTTTCAGAACGTGGCAAACAACGTCAACTTCGAGATGCAAGATTGTGAACACTTTTCAGGAGAAGCAGAAACATCCCAGCACCTCCTCTGCAAGTGCATCCAGATCATGACGTTCAGAATGAGGATAATTGGTAAACTCTACCTTAAAAACAGTAAACTACAATCATATCTTCAAATTTGTGGAACAGTCGACAAGACTGGATAGGGAAAACCCTTTTGGGTAACCTCCTAGGATTCTTCGCCAGGAACTTTCGCTAAATCCCATACTAGGAACTCAACCTAGGCCCATCTCTGCATAGAGACATATCTCCCAGGCTTTGACCTTGCTCGGAAGTCCCTTGTCTGCCCGCAGAAGTACTACAACGGAAGTGGGTTTGCTCTGAGACAGGTAGTGACAGCTTCAAGACTCCAGGGGTCTGTTGCATTGATATTTATTATTTTATGATTTCGTATATACTTTGGGAGTCCTGGCGTGCAGCTAGCAGGAGTTGCATTCTGTGGGCACGGTGAGAAGGCCTCCATCTTTTAGTAAGAGGCCAGAAACCGTTGACCAGAACAGAGAGAGAGAGATCTTTTATACACTCACATCACACTCACTTGACCACGAAACAACTCAAATGCAACTTAATATTCTCGGTAATTTTTGTAAGGAGTGGGGCATTGAAATCAATGAACTCAAAACTCAAGCAGTCATCTTTGGTAAGAAAACTTTGAAACAGGACGTACAAAACATCAAATTTACACTCAACGGATCTAATCTTGAAATTGTTGACAGTTATTGTTACCTTGGATTTGAACTTCATCAATCGGGTCAAGTATAACAGATTGCTCAACAAAACCTTAAAACCAAAGCAATGCGTGCATTTTTGGCCTGAAAAGGGTTGTCATGCGTTCAAAGTTATCTTTTAAAGCACTCCTTACACTTTTCGTCTCTCATCAAGCCCATTTTATTATATGGTGCTCCAATATGGACACCCACTAGTACGATCAATAAATCTCTTTGCAAAACGATTAACTCGACAGAAGCAACCGCTACTAACTCACTTAAAAATCAGCGCCTCTCTGCAAGAAAGCGTGCATATTTCATTCCTAAAATGGGCATTGGGAGTCCATCGTAAAGCATCAAATGTAGGTGTATGGGGAGAAACAGGAAGAATTCCTCTGATTTATCAATCAATTCGCTTAACACTAAGTTACTTCAAAAGGCTAATTACAAAATCAAAGTCGAATTCGTTTGTAACTGCAGCCGTAAAAGAAAAAAAATCACTAAACTTACCTTGGTATCGATACATAAAACCACTCCTTGAACTAGATGAAACTGATCACTGTAAGTGATCACAAATTATTCAAAGACTCCCTTAAAAATCAGTCAAATTTTAGTCAATGTATCAAACCACTATGCAGCAAAAAGTATAAAATTCCTAACATCATCGAAGCTCTAACCAATCAATTCAAAAAATGTTGGGAATATCAGAAATCTTCTTCTTCTAAACTCTCATTCTATCACTCAATCAAACACACCTTCAACCGAGAGCCCTACTAACACTTATGCAAAGGCTTCTCTCGTCGTTATAACACCACAAAACTTAGAATCAGCGCCCATGATCTCCATATTGAAAAAAGCAGATACTCCAACACACCCCGTGAGCAAAGACTATGGGCTTGGTGCCAATCAAGTATGGGCGTTGAGGCCATCGAAGACAAGTCACATGTTCTTTACATATGTGACTTGTATTCAAAACAGAGGTCGAAATTAGTCAAAAATCTTTCTCAAATGCCACTCATATTGAAACAAGCACTGAAATCACAGACTCAAGCAATATCAATGAAACAAATCTAAAGTCCATCTTATGTAAATTTTGTCTCCTTACTCAACTGTAATTCCTCAAAATCACCAGAGCCTCCATATTCACTGCCACCGTTCACTTAATATTCAATCAAACACCCCACAGTAATCAGTATAATATTCAATTTCAAGAAAGGCGCTCCTATGCTGTCAATTGTGTGTGCACTTATTTCCTTCGCTGCTCCGAAGAGCGAAATAGCTTCACCAAAGATATGCGTCAACGTAATTCAAATGCACGAAACTTAAACAATTTTATTATCAATTTGGTGGGAACCTTGCGAATTAGTCATAATTAAAATTTAAGGATAACCCTGGCCCTGACTTCAAGGAAAGATGAATGTTTTCATTAATTTCTGTACAATTATGACGGTCCATGATAATGGATTTATAATTTAATTTTAATCCTGTGTAATCCTGTGTAATCCTGTGTAATCCTGTGTAATCCACTCACATTCACATTCACAAGCATGGGAGCTCACCTGGTCCAATGATCGGGAAACGGAGAACAAGCTCTGGATACGTCATAGTCACGTGACCTCAGGCTCACAATCACGTGACCTCAGACCCAATCAACTGGCCTGGTCAGCTCCCTGTCAGCTCCCTGTAATTACATGATCTTGGAGTGACGTACGACATCAATGTCTGGAAAGCTGCAAATTTTTACATGCCAAAAACTTAATATTCTTAAGGAATTGTGCGAGATGACGTTACATAGAGGCCGCAGAATTATGAGGACTACCAGATCCTCATGGTGGAACCTAAGCGATCCGTGATATCACGACATGCCATATCTGATATCTGTCTATCCAGCACGAGTTTGTTAATCTCCTTGCTGTCGTCAAGCCCCGTGTCCTTCCGAAGGATGTCAATATATGTGAGGTGAGGTCTTCCCCTTCGACGATGTCCTTGAAGGGGTTCCCAGAAGAGAAGTTGATGACTCAATAGTTCTTCATGTCTGGCTAAATGACCAGCGAGTCTCATCCTCCGTGCAGCTATCTTATCAGATGCTCTGATGAGGTGTCCATACACCTTGGCGTTAGTCTGCCGCTCTTTCCAGTCAATGTTAAGCCATCCTCAGCATTCTCGTATAACATCCATCAATACGTTTTGCGCGGGTCTGGCTGACAGTCCATGTTTCAGAGCCATATAGAAGGATGGACTCGACTGTAGCTAGGAACAGTCGTATCTTGAGATCTCTACGCATATCCGACTTCCATACAAGTTTCATCTGGTGACACGCTCTCCATGCCTTAGCTTTCCTCACTTCGAAGTCCTTCTCCGAACTCTTCATTCTACTACCCAAATATACAAAGTCATCGACTTTCTCAATGTTCTTCCCACTCCCAGCAACCAGAGTCGGGTTATCATCATCTCTTATGTTGATTCCCATGTACTTAGTTTTCCCCTCGTTGAGGTGGAGTCCAACTGAGTTGGCCGCCAGTTCCAGACTCCTGAGGAAATCTTTTGCCTCCGCAACACTATCTGTTATAAGAGCAAGGTCGTCAGCAAAGTCCGCATCAGTTACCTTGACAGCCGGATAGCGACGGCTTCTTCTAGGGTGTAGAGTAAACCCAAAGTCCCTACCCTCTAGGGACACCCTCATAATGTAGTCAATTACGATTATGAATAGGTAAGGCGCCAAAGTGTCTCCCTGCATCACTCCTGCTAGAATGAAGAATGCTTCACTCAGACCATCCTCGGTAATCACACGAGCAAATGTATCTGCATACATTCTTTGTATCAAGCCTACAATCTCCTTGGGAATTCCATATGCCAGGAGGATCTTCATGAGGAGTCCACGGTGCACGCTGTCGAATGCCTTCTTGAAATCAATGAAGAGCATTACCGCGGTCAGATCTTTATCCCGGGCTCCCTCGAATACCCTTCTCAGGCCGGGCTCCCTCGAATACCCTTCTCAGGCCAAGAATATTCCACATTTTACACTCAAATTACCCAAAAATCTGCCAGTATACTTTTATAGCATGACAAGAGATGACTTCCACACAATTTCAGATGTTTTCAGCAAAAAAAACCGTTCCGGAGATATTATATACAGTTTAATGAGCTAGGGTCCCAGCAGCACCAGAAGCTGCTAATAATATTATATGCGGAAATTTTTACATCGTGGGTTTCTCCGGCCGGAGCTGGTACTGGTACAACGTAGGTAGGTACATGCCCCCGACGATAATATTAACTCAATTTGACACATATTGCTATATTGTGACGTTTATAAAGCATGGCGCTAAATTGTCTAGTCTACGGATGATAATTGTACGGAACGCAATCACGTGGGAAAACTTCCAAATTTAAATTCATTCAAGGCTTTTTGGCTCAGTTGGTTAATCCGCCTGGTAGTGGTATTGCTTGAGGTACCAGGTTCGATTCCCGACTCTGTCACTAGCCGTGGGGTGAGCGTCGTCGACGCTCAGCTAAGGATCCTGAGTGGTCTATACTCTATGCAGCCCCCCGGTCCACTCAGCCAAATACTCGAGAAATCGGGTGTGAGGGTTAAATGAGGAGCTGCCCATTGCAGCAAAGTCTCGGGCGAAGAAAGTATGGTACACACTACCTTAACCGTCACTGGCCTATTGTATAATTGAATCCTTCGGCTTCCTGTAATTGGCTGGTTACACACTTGTGTAACAATGTGGCTGTTGGAATGTCCGACGTAAAATAAGTGTTGAGATAAAAAAAGGAAAGTGCACTGAGTGACAATCGGTGTCTCGTCTAAATTCACAGAGCAGTTCATTATTTTTTTCTTCTTTTTTTCTTCTTTTTTTCTTCTTTTTTTCTTCTTTTTTTCTTGTTTGGTTGTATCTCTATTGTCATCTATTTGCACTGTTTCCAATCAAAATCTGGTACTTTCAATCGCAGCGAATATCATTACTGTTCTCAGGAGAAGGAAACCGTTGGTCAACTGTTTTGAAGAGAACTAGTGCGGTACTACTTACTGTTCTCAGGAGAAGGAAACCCTTGGTCTACTGTTTTGTAGAGAACTGGTACACTACTGTTTTTAGGAGAAGGAAACCGGTGATCTACTGTTTTGAAGAGAACTGGTACACTACTGTTCTTAGGAGAAGACAAACCGTTGGTCTACTGTTTTGAAGAGAACTGGTACACTATTGTTCCCCGGAGAAGAAAACTGATGCTCTAATATTTTCAAAAGAAAGGAAGTTGTACTTTAGCAAGATTACTGGTAAACAGTAATAAAAGTCGACAATCAGTTTTTGTGAAATTTGGAAAACATTTTGGCTTTGGCCTTCAGCAGAAAAATTATCGGTTTTATCGGTTTTATCTAGATAAAACCTAAATTTTTATCTGTTTATCTAGATAAAAGATTTCATACCGATAATGGATAGCCTAACTGGTACACTATTGTTCCCCGGAAAAGAAAACTGATGCTCTAATATTTTCAAAAGAAAGGAAGTTGTACTTTAGCAAGATTACTGGTAAACAGTAATAAAAGTCGACAATCAGTTTTTGTGAAATTTGGAAAACATTTTGGCTTTGGCCTTCAGCAGAAAAATTATCGGTTTTATCGGTTTTATCTAGATAAAACCTAAATTTTTATCTGTTTATCTAGATAAAAGATTTCATACCGATAATGGATAGCCTAACTGGTACACTATTGTTCCCCGGAGAAGAAAACTGATGCTCTAATATTTTCAAAAGAAAGGAAGTTGTACTTTAGCAAGATTACTGGTAAACAGTAATAAAAATCGACAATCAGTTTTTGTGAAATTTGAAAAACATTTTGGCTTTGGCCTTCAGCAGAAAAATTATCGGTTTTATCGGTTTTATCTAGATAAAACCTAAATTTTTATCTGTTTATCTAGATAAAAGATTTCATACCGATAATGGATAGCCTAGCTGGTATCCATCGTAGTAGGACTTGATTGTCCATTGCTAGTTGGTTAAGCTCACTTATAGCCGTGCTGGTGCTTTTAGATTTGACTTTGATGTTGCTCATTGTTGCTCATTGTTGCATCATGTATCAGAGCCATCAGGCTATTGCTGAAGTGCCACGTAGGTGATTGCCGGGAAGGTTTGGAGAATGGAGCTATGATCTGATCATCAGTCTGTCCTTTGTTTGCTTGTTGGTTGCTTGTTGTTTGCTTGTTGTTTGCTTGTTGTTTGCTTGTTGTTTGCTTGTTGTTTGTTGTTTGCTTATTGTTTGCTTTTTGTTTGCTTGTTGTTTGCTTGTCGTTTGTTTGTTGTTTGCTTGTTGTTTGCTTGTCGTTTGTTTTTTGTTTGCTTGTTGTATAGCATTATTATTAGAAATGCTATACTCGGTGGGACTGCGACAAACAGATGTGTTCTTTATACTTTACTTTAGAGCAGACCATTTTTGTATCTACTGTTAATAAAAATAATCAACTAGCGGATTGATTGCTGTATCTGTGATAACATTATGTTTAATTTTAACAAATAAGACAGATACGTAAATGCAAATGCTAAAAGCATCAAATGGAAAATTGTTACAGTTTAGAAGAACTAGCAGGAACCCGTATAAATTAACCCTAAACGGTGTCAAGACTCAAAATACTAAAATAATTATTACCTATTTAATCGGCGTTTTTGACACCACTTGGGGGCCCAAATTTTCGGCTCTAAAATCATTATTCCTTGGCCAATTTTTTATTTTTTCATGCCGATTTGAAGGCCATTAAAGCATTTGACCCAGCCAAAAAAGTTCCAGTTGTATATATTTTACGGTTTTTGCGGAAAGTCGCGTTAAAGTTGATGCCGTGGTGTCAGTAAAATGGCACAGATATATATATATATATCGTCTCGCTTTATATATAGTAAGATAGTATAGTGTAATAATACGGAATCGTTTTAAACACATTTTAAGATTGTAAGCTATGATTACAGAAATCAACTTATTGTGCCCATTGATTAAGATAACAATGAATAATTGTTTCTATCTAATAATTGTCTCTATAATTATTGTCTCTATATCACGTAATCCTTGTACCCTCCACCATCAGGTATCACGAGATCACATAGCCATGTGTCTACGCGTACTGCAGTCGCGCGCTACTGCAAGTTAGAGCAAGTATCACGTGATCACGGCATCATTAGACTGAGCACCCTTAGCTATTACTCTATATCGCAGAGACGGCAACTTTTACGGCAATTCTTTACCATATCTTCTTCGTATGTTCCTAGGCAGTCTCCATTATAAATGTCCACCATAATTTTACAAATTCCTGGAATGCCGGCATCAATACATGGTGGTAGTGCCAGTGGTGATTGAGCTGAAAAGTTGTAATATTAAATACGCGTTAATGAAAGATTAATTAATGATTAAATAAGTGCATCTCCCACTTGTTATAGTGGGGCTCAATGGGTTATCTGAATATCTTATAAACTCCAGTTTCACATTAAATACATCCATAACACTCCTATTCCCTATCAAAACGATACACTAAATTGGGTTACATTTTAATTGGGTATTTTTTTAAATGTTTGGTGTAAACATACCAATGTAATGTCGATATTATGTATTAGTTATAAGTCGATGAAAATTTGGTATTCACAAATTAAATCAGATTAAAATAAACCACCATTTTGCTTACCATGAAATCCAGCCACGAGTAGAAATACTACCACAATCTTCATCATCATCATCATAGCGCCTTGATATCTGTATTGCGATCGTTATATTGATTTCATGAGCATGAAAGAAAGGTGGTATCGATATGATGATACAGATTATGGATACACCGGTTAAGAAATTGTTAACATAATCTAAAACATGAACAGTATTGCTCTATGAACTGTGGCCAGAAATGTTTGTTGATAAAACAATTAAACTATGGAGAACGACCTCAGTATCAATACAAATTATAAAAAATAACGAAAATTAAATAAAATTTAAGAAGGAGCGTACTCACTTGAGCTGAGAACACAAACATACCTTCTTACCTTTCGGCCCTCAAGGCCTGGCTATGCACGAACACCATTTTGCCTCATGATTGACCTCGCCCAACCCTTCAACACTGACGTGTAATTTTTGAGTTGGATATTGTGTATTGCTGGTGTAGAAAGTATAATGTTCATTGTTCACTGTAGGGCCTGTCGTGATATCATGGATCGCTTAGGTTCCACCATGAGGATCTGGTAGTCCTCATAATTCTGCGGCCTCTATGTATCGTCATCTCGCACAACTCCTTAAGAATCTTACGTTTTTGGCATGTGAAAATTTGCAGCCTCCCAGACATTGATTGCGGTTAACGAGGTGTCGTACGTCACCTCAAGATCATGTAATTACAGGGAGCTGACAGGCCAGAAGTCAGTTGATTGGGTCTGAGGTCACGTGATTGTGAGCCTGAGGTCACGTGACTATGACGTATCCAGAGCTTGTTCTCCGTTTCCCGCTCATTGGACCAGGTGAGCTGATCCCGTGGTTGTGAATGTGAATGTAAGTACTGTACTGTAGTATATCTCTATTACCCCCAATAGAAACCCAAATTTAATTTCTGACAGAAAAAAAAATTACCAAATTATCGACCTTGTTATAAACTCATTTTGATGACCGAATACTTACAACGTTTTCGTCATTGTCAAATAAAATCCATACTTTCTACAGTAAAAAGCTTAGAGCTAAATGGTGATGTGAAGAGATTAGAGAAATTTAAACATAAATAATTTTTTTAATTTCCTCGAACAAAGCTTCCGACAAGCAAGTTTCTAGTCAGTTATAAATGGAGGCAGGTTTTTATTGGTGTTCTTTTTTTCAGTCATTTGACACGTGATAACCTGGGCCACATTGGTAAAACCTGGATTTTAAGGCATAAGGAACTCTGAATCCGAGTTTAATAAATTTCTCGTGCAATTTAAGGTCATGAACTGTCATTAAAATGAGTGTATAACAATTTTGATATTTTGGATTATTTCTAGCTTTCTGTCAGAAAATAAATCTGAGCTTTTATAAGGGTATCATTTTACTAACACCACGGCATCAACTTTAACACGACTTCCCACAAAAACCGTAAAAGATATACAACTTAAACTTTTTCGACTGGTTCAAATGCTTTAATGGCCTTCAAATCAGCATGAAAAAATTAAAAATTGGCCAAGGAATATGAATTTGAGTGCCCCAAATATGGACCCCCAAGTGTTGTCAAATGGACCGGAGAACCAAAAGAGTAAGTAATAAATAGCCTTGGGAGGCTCCCAAGAGAAATGGGAGCTTGGTATTCATAATCACTACTGCACTCTCATGCGGCTTCTATATTAATATAGAAAGTGATACATGTGTCACATGCAACTATAAGTATAATACTTGGATCGGTTTCTCCTAAAAGTTTCTCTTTGCAAGGAAAAGTGAGAGATGAGACAACTAGCTTAACAGACGAGCACTTTAATAAGTAAGAGACCAATGCTTATATCTTTTCTCTTACACTCACATCACACGCAAAATTTACATTCACAAGCATGGGAGCTCACCTGGTCCAACGAGCTTGGTATGTATGATCACACTGCACTCTCATGCGGCTTCTATATTTATATAGAAAGTGATAATGTGTCACATGCAACTATAAGTATAATACTTGGATCGGTTTTCCTGAAAATTTCTCTTTGCAAGGAAAAGTGAGAGATGAGACAACTAGCTTAAGAGACGAGCACTTTAATAAGTAAGAGACCAATGCTTATATTAGAGGCGTGAGCTAGCCGGCTAAGCCGGCTTAGCCAGCCGATTGAAATTGCCGGCTTAGCCAGCCCATTTGCCATCGGCTAGCCGATCGGCTAACAATTTTCAGCAGTTATCACTTATCTCTACTTCAGGCCGGGAATCTAGACGGCATGTAACAAAATATACCATGATCGACTTTAGAGATAAATTTCAGAACCGTCAGACGGATCGTCTTCAAGACGAAATTAAAGTATATAAGGCCTTGCAGTGCCCTAAAAACTTTCTGTCCAAGATGGACACTCTTAGATTTTGGAAATGTCGTAGTGATACATTGCCCCTTCTTTCAAAATTAGCATGCGCTATATTTTCGGTTCCTGCATCCGCTGCTGATGTGGAAAGTTAACATGGTCAGCAGCAGGGCTGACTGTAAACAAGAGGATATCAAAGATCTCATCAGACAATTCAAAAGCCATTATGCTCATTAATCGTAACAGAGATCTTTTGTTAAGTTTTATAAGTAAATTAGAGATTGACTCTGACCAGTGAGAATTTCCTAACTTATTATTGACTAACTTATTATTATTGAAGTTGTGAAATTGTATCACTTGTTACCTTCCATTTCAAGTTTTGCCCTTAAAATCGACATAAAGTATAAAGAAACATAAAGTATAAGCCAATCAATTTTAATACAAAATAGTAATATTAGCAAAATAAAAATTTTTGGTACAATATCTGATATTAGGATCTGGTAATCCCATTCCCAGTTTTAGCCGGCTTCGCCGGCTAGCCAGCCGATTTTTTCTCTTAGCCAGCCGATTGCCGTCGGCTAGCCGGCTCACGGCTCTAGCTTATATCTTTTCTCTTACACTCACATCACACGCAAATTCACATTCACAAGCATGGGAGCTCACCTGGTCCAACGAGCTTGGTATTTATGATCACTACTGCACTCTCATGCGGCTTCTATATTAATATAGAAAGTGATACATGTGTCACATGCAACTATAAGTATAATACTTGGATCGGTTTCTCCTAAAAGTTTCTCTTTGCAAGGAAAAGTGAGAGATGAGACAACTAGCTTAACAGACGAGCACTTTAATAAGTAAGAGACCAATGCTTATATCTTTTCTCTTACACTCACATCACACGCAAATTCACATTCACAAGCATGGGAGCTCACCTGGTCCAACGAGCTTGGTATTATATATATTTTGGTAAGAAAACTTTAAAACATGACGTACAAAACATCAAATTTACACTCAACGGATCTAATCTTGAAATTGTTGACAGTTATTGTTACCTTGGATTTGAACTTCATCAATCGGGTCAAGTACAGATTGCTCAACAAAACCTTAAAACCAAAGCAATGCGTGCATTTTTGGCCTGAAAAGGGTTGTCATGCGTTCAAAGTTATCTTTTAAAGCACTCCTTACACTTTTCGTCTCTCATCAAGCCCATTTTATTATATGGTGCTCCAATATGGACACCCACTAGTACGATCAATAAATCTGTTTGCAAAACGATTAACTCGACAGAAGCAACCGCTACTAACTCACTTAAAAATCAGCGCCTCTCTGCAAGAAAGAGTGCATATTTCATTCCTAAAATGGGCATTGGGAGTCCATCGTAAAGCATCAAATGTAGGTGTATGAAGAGAAACAGGAAGAATTCCTCTGATTTATCAATCAATTCGCTTAACACTAAGTTACTTCAAAAGGCTAATTACAAAATCAAAGTCGAATTCGTTTGTAACTGCAGCCGTAAAAGAAAAAAAATCACTAAACTTACCTTGGTATCGATACATAAAACCATTCCTTGAACTAGATGAAACTGATCACTGTAAGTGATCACAAATTATTCAAAGACTCCCTTAAAAATCAGTCAAATTTTAGTCAAAGTATCAAACCATTATGCAGCAAAAAGTATAGAATTCCTAACATCATCGAAGCTCTAACCAATCAATTCAAAAAATGTTGGGAATATCAGAAATCTTCTTCTTCTAAACTCTCATTCTATCACTCAATCAAACACACCTTCAACCGAGAGCCCTACTAACACTTATGCAAAGGCTTCTCTCGTCGTTATAACACCACAAAACTTAGAATCAGCGCCCATGATCTCCATATTGAAAAAGGCAGATACTCCAACACACCCCGTGAGCAAAGACTATGGGCTTGGTGCCAATCAAGTATGGGCGTTGAGGCCATCGAAGACAAGTCACATGTTCTTTACATATGTGACTTGTATTCAAAACAGAGGTCGAAATTAGTCAAAAATCTTTCTCAAATGCCACTCATATTGAAACAAGCACTGAAATCACAGACTCAAGCAATATCAATGAAACAAATCTAAAGTCCATCTTATGTAAATTTTGTCTCCTTACTCAACTGTAATTCCTCAAAATCACCAGAGCCTCCATATTCACTGCCACCGTTCACTTAATATTCAATCAAACACCCCACAGTAATCAGTATATTCAATTTCAAGAAAGGCGCTCCTATGCTGTCAATTGTGTGTGCACTTATTTCCTTCGCTGCTCCGAAGAGCGAAATAGCTTCACCAAAGATATGCGTCAACGTAATTCAAATGCACGAAACTTAAACAATTTTATTATCAATTTGGTGGGAACCTCGCAAATTAGTCATAATTAACATTTAAGGATAACCCTGGCCCTGACTTCAAGGAAAGATGAATGTTTTCATTAATTTATGTACAATTATGACGGTCCATGATAATGGATTCATAATTTAATTTTAATCCTGTGTAATCCTGTGTAATCCTGTGTAATCCTGTGTAATCCTGTGTAATCCTGTGTAATCCTGTGTAATCCTGTGTAATCCACTCACATTCACATTCACAAGCATGGGAGCTCACCTGGTCCAATGATCGGGAAACGGAGAACAAGCTCTGGATACGTCATAGTCACGTGACCTCAGGCTCACAATCACGTGACCTCAGACCCAATCAACTGGCCTGGTCAGCTCCCTGTCAGCTCCCTGTAATTACATGATCT